CAATATCACTGCCCCAGTCAAAAGAAGCCTGGTTTTCCATGAAACTCTTCTGCTGCTGTTGGAATTGCGCCATGACCTTGGCTTGACGGCTTAGAGCTGCCTTCTTTCTTCTCTCGCGCTCTTCCTCTGCAGATGTGTTTGCTGGTGACGCAGTGCTTATACGGTCTACGGAAGCACCCAAGTTCACATACGCTGTCTCAAAAGTGCGAGGACGTTTCTGGCGCAGGCGCTTTAGAACGAGTGCGATTTTAGGATGAACTGCCTTGAACTCGTCCTTGGTTGACATCATATTCAGCAGAGACACGATTGTTCTTGAACTGTGGGCTTCAGGCATAAAGTTGCTGCGGCCGAACTTTGTGAGGGCGATGTGGACGAAGGACTTTGGTGATTCTTCGCTCATGTCATCGTCACTTGACTTGTCCTCGAGAATGGCGATGAGCATAAGATGCAAGACAACTTGGAGAAATGTTTCCAGTCGAGTAAAAGGAACGGAGGGAGTAAATTTGCCGGCCACCAGAGGATAAAGGAGTGAGTAGTAAATGACTTGAGCAAACATGCCGGTACTCGTGAAAGCGCCCAAGTCCTCAAACATGCCCGAAGGGACTGGTCGGGCCTTGGGCTCGTATACAATTTCTTCAGCAGTCTTTCCTGTCCGTTTCGCCATCTTCTTTCGGTAAGCTAGCTCCGACTCCTCACGCTGGTTCTTGTTGTAGTGAGCGATGTAAGGGTCAATCTCCTCAATATACTCAGGTCGAAGTTCGAAAGTACCAACATCGGAGACACCCTCTGGTGGTTTGAAAGTGGCCATCTCATCAAGCACTCGATGAAAGTCCTCTTGCTCTTGATACTTCTCAGGCAGTTTGTTACAGATCTCGTTGAACGATAGCGGCTTGAAACACAATACATGAGTAATGTCGCGGCGCATGGCCAAGAGCCTGGATTTGGTCTCATCATCTGAAGATATCAAAGAGGTCCGGTCGCTTAGCAAGACAATCAGAAGATGAATCATATCTTCAACGACATCAAGGTGCTGAGCATCATCCTGAGCTTCAGATTTGAGCTCGAATAAACCCTTGACCCAGCTTTCCATTCCAAAGCGGTCTATGATCGAGACCAGTACTCGGCTGGGATCGCAAATCACCAAAGCAGTCTGAAGTAAAAAGATATCCCGATGATGAGATACATCTCGTTGACCGACACCGCGATACGTACTGGCTTGGTGTCGCAGGCTGATTCCATTGCGAACCCACATGTTGGCTTTGATCTGGGCAAGCCAAGCGCAAACACGGAGAGGGAAGTCGAAAGACGCGATGAGATAATCCTCTGCGGTGTAATTCTTTCGCGGCACTTGAGGTCTCCCCATCAGTCGTGGTTTAGATTTGAGCTCCTGTTGAGTAAAGCTCAGAAGGTTCCGCATTGTTGACACAGGAAGAGACCGGCCACACTCAATGAGCCAGGACAGGGTGTAGTGCAGCGCATGGTGGAAGCTGATCGCGTCCTTCTCGACAACGAACTTGACGACATCATACGATGACGATTCGCTATCGAACTCAAAATCATTCAATGTCTTAAACTGCACCTCGTCCTTGATTTCACCTTGCTTAAATCGATGACGTTCAGCGCCGATGGAGTTCAAGATGACCGTCTTCGCCGTGAAGCGAATTGCTTGTTGTAGGTAGTGGAACTCATCTGGGGGGCAGTTACGGAACGCCTCAGCAAGGTTTCGTGCTTGCAGGTTGATTTGCCTGGTTACAAGAGATGCTGTAATCCAGGAGTCGGCCTCGTATTCTACGTGTTCGACCACGGCCCTGACGTTCGGCCCAATACATTGATGTAGCTTGACAAGGTCAAGGAACTGCATGAGGTAGCGGGGCTCACATCTAACGCGTTCCTGTACATGAGGGGCGCCGAAAAGATACTTCAGGTCTTGGTAAAAGTGGTACATGCGCCTGTTGGTTACCGACCCGCTTTCGAAGCCCAAGACTGCATCGGGGGACACATCCCAAGGGTGCCCAACTTGACGAGTTGTCAAGAAGGTGTATAGGATTGCCAACAAGCTGGTCATAAAGTTTCCGCGCTCGACAACTTCTGCAGTGATTGATGGGGTGGTGAGCATCTGAAGGGAAAGGTTGATGATGGAGTGGTCTGGCTCTCGGTCTCCAACCAGATAAAGCTGAGCCAGGATTGTGTAAAGACTGGCGAATCTGAGGGCCAGTACTCTCTTGAATTCGGGAATAGTCACAACCGTGGAGATGTACAGAGCTCGAAGGTCGTTTCTCACCTTCTTCCACATGCGCAAATCAAATAACAACAGCCAGTCGAGGCGAACACGGCGGAATACATCCTCAGCTGGAGGCACGTTCTCACGCTGTGTATAAACGGCAGGTGTCTCGATCCAATATCGCCCAGGTCTAGGAACTAACTTCTCGGTCTTACCAGGAGTTTTGGGAATTTCCGCGTTCGCCTTTGCGTAAATCGAGGGAGCGATTAGGGGCTCCGCTGTATCCGAGTCGGATGGTGTTGCTTCTCTGTCCCTGGTTCTAGCTGGAGCCTCAGATTGTGTCTGGGCTTGGCCTTGACCCCGACCCTGACCCTGAGACGTAACTTGAGCAGGAGGAGGCGGTGGAGGTGGTGGATAGCCTGCCATTGTTGCTTCGTCTTCTTCCAAAGCCTGGTCGTTATCTCTCCAATTCATCCCAAGGTCTCCGACGTCTCCGCGGGCATCGACCATCATGACGTCGTCATCCTCGTCTTCGTCTCCTCCAGCCACTGAGCTGGAAGGAGAATGTTGGTCTTGATCGTCCATGTCTGCATCGGCATCTTCTTCGTCCTCTCCATCATCGTCGGAGTCGTCGTCAATTTCTATCTGAACGCCGGTACCGGTGTTGGCTGCAGCCTGCAAGGCCAGAATGAACCTAGCATTCATGCCATCAAATCGGCGTCTGCTGTCGACAATCTGGTCATCCTCCTCCTCGTCATCAATCAGACCCATCGTATGAGTCGCTTGGCTCCCTTGACGCCAAGGGTTCATTACCTGTTCACAAACTGTGCGTCGGAGAATACTGTTGTCGTGGCCGACAGAGCAACCAGATATATCACTCAGCCACTCAACGAGGGTGCCGCACATTTGTTCGCGGAAAGTGTCTCTTGCAGACCGAATCGTGACTGTAACTCTGATGGCCTCCATTATAGCTGCCATGTCCAAGAGTCGCTTCACGTCGGGCATATACGTCAAGATACTTCGTCCAATAGCATCAGTCTCCCAGGCATTCTCTGCAGCCAGCTTACGGCTTTTTCGACAAGCGCGGGCGACCTGGTCCTGAACTTCTTGAACGGTATGTTTCTCGTCATTCCAAAGAATCAGGGCGAATTCTGTACATGGTTCGGCATCGGGGCCGTAGTATTTCGAGGAGAGGCGTGATGACTGCTCGTCTTCGAGAATCGATTCTTGTGTCTTGGCCTGTCGCAGCTGTTCTGGGGAGCATGAGATGACGTCGCAGATGTAGTCGAAAACACGACCGATGGTCATCTGTAGATTCGTGACAAGGTCCTCAGGCAGACCGGCCGCCTCTTTTCCCTTCCCCTTGTCCGTACCTCCCTGAACGTGAGAGTGAATGGTGCAGAACAGAGGTGTTCGCCATGCCTCGTCATCTCCACAGTCACAGCAACCACTATTTCCTACTGATATGTGGATTCGAACCATGTGCCCTGTATGGTCGGTCGAGTCGAAGCATCGGGCACATAGGCAGCAAGTTTCGTCGGTACCACAGGTGCGGCACATGTACGATGCCTCACCAGGTTTGAAGATGTGCCCACATCGCTTCCCCCGCGCTGCCTCGGTATACTCTGCTCCCTCGACTGCGCCTTGAGAGTCGCTCAGCTTGAGTGTCTCTCCGATTTTACCGTCCGGGAAGAGCAGTCGCATGTATTCACTTTTTCCTCCAGCGAGAGACCAGAAGAGGCTGGTAAGTAGCTCGCGTGAAGCATCTTCGGTGAAGCGGTAGTTGAAGCGGGAGGGCAGGTCGGCCAAGAACTGGCAGAGCTGTTGCTCCTGGGTCGACATAGATTGGGCCATGGTCAAACCAACCTCATCGTAGCATTTATTGTGTGAGATGAAAAGAGAAGGCGAGAAAGAGAGAAAAGTAGGGACGACGTCGATTACGGTGTCGGCGATGTCGTCAGGTCGATTATTGATAGGCAATACCGAAGTGGGGGGTCCGCAAATATTGGAGAAAGGTTTGGTGGAACAGTTGCTCTGCGGATAAAGACGTCAGCGATATGAACAGTGTAGAAGTAGAAAAGTAGTTGATTTACCTGTAGCAGCCCTGTAAAAAGACACAAAATCCAAAAGTGGCCGTGAACGTGGCTGTTGCCAATGTCAGATTGCTTAACTTTCAAGCTGTCAAGTTGATGATGACGGTTTAAATATCTGGGTTGCGTTTTGCTACCTCCTTACTTAATAAAGGTACCTTATTACTACTATAGCGACCTGTTGCTGTTACCTTGCATGGATCCTGGGACTGAATCACAGTGAGGTTTTGGTGCACCTAGGTAGGTAGGTTAGTAGTCACCGAGGGGCAATACCTGCCAATCCAGCCCAGTCCACTGCACCACACACGTAAGGTAAGAATGGATGGATGAATTGCCGAAGCAGTTCCAACTGGAGCTCTTTAGGTACATACAGTCACATTCACAAGCAGTAAATTGCCGTCACCACCTCACTCTTATTAGCAGTAAAAGTCTGATCATACATATGCGTTGGCTTTTTCATGTTATATATGTTAACATACGAACAGCCACCGGTGGTTATGGCTATTGCCGGTTCTAGCAATCAATAAATGGAAATAATGCATCAACAGAGGTAGGTAACGAGATGTCATGTGTGTAATCAAGCCTCTAATCCTCTTCTAATTTATACAGGGGCAAGCGGCACCAGAATCAATGCCTCGCCTCGCTCGGTCCGTTGCTCCATGATCAGGTCCATGTCCTTGTCAACCTCTTTATTCCTCATCCTCATCGCCGCCCTCGAGGAACTTATGTCGGATATCCTTCCATTGTCGCTGCAAGCCCGTTAGCATTTGTCTCTCGCCAATTTCCGGTCTTCATCGCACGTACGCCTCGGTTGTTGTTGTCCCAGACTTTGTCCATAACGTTGTTGAAGCCACTGTATCGTAATCAGCGTCGTGTCCCCGTTGATCCGAGGTCACTTGCGGGCAGTCCTTACATCTCCCAGGCGAAGCCAGCAGTGAAAACGGTAGCGAGCATCAGGTAGTTGGTGGAGAAGAGGCTCCTGCAGAAACGTAAATCTCGCATTAGTTTGGGTGATCGATTGTCGTGTCGTCGGCGTCGTCGTTACTTGCCTGTAGAGTGTGTTGGCGAGGGCCTGTGAAGATGCGCGATTAGCCATTGCGGTCTGCAAGGGGAGTCTTGGAGTAGCCTCTATCTTACCATTTTGATAGATGAGCGCAATTGAGCGTCTGTAACACGGCTAAGGGTCGGTGGTGGACGTCGGCGGCGGTCGATTGTGAGGCTTCGATTGAAGGATGGAGAGGTTCTAGAGATTGTCAGGCCAGGAAATTCGCGAAGTTCCGGGAACAGCTTTACCTCGCCTGTGATTGGTCGGCCGAGCCAGATATCCGGTGCCCCGGTTTAATCAGGACGAAACTCACTTTCAACAACCATTCTCTCACTTCATCGATGGTAATAATTATTAAGGAGGATTATTTTTTGTTAACGTTCAACGTTTTCCTATATTAGCACACTATGAATGCCGCCGCACAGGCTCTATCTTCAGTCAGCTAGCTTGGCCCAATGCTCAGACGGGACTGTATTTATGGTATCAACTCCTATGTGCTAGGAACCGTCGCCAGATATACTGGAACGCAGTCAAATCACCGCCCTTCCTGAACTTGATCCATCCCTGCTCTGGATGCTCCGGGCTTCTCCTGCAATTCCTCTTTTACCCTATCCTTCGTCTCTTTGTGTCCACGGACTCTTTCCCTGAACCCAATATGTTGTTGGACTCGCGGACCCCTGATGGAGCTCATGACGCGAAGTGGTGGCCGTACAAATTCATCGTCAGAATCCAGCGACTTGTCAATCGTGAAATCTTCACCGGGAGGCGAAATCCATCTTCTGCGAAGGAAGCCTGGGAGACATACAGCAATCCACTCATCGGGACAGAGTCTAATTAGTGCACCCCAAGGAACAGAGATGGCACCTAGACCGATCGACAGTCCCCATTCTTTACCGTTCAAGCGAACAATCTCAAAGGCATCACTACCTACGAAAATGATGAGGACTTGGCCTCCAATCATGATGAGGTTGATTATGATAAAGAAAACATTGCGATGGAGACCTTCAAAGATGTTTAGCTTGTTATCCAGCCGACGGTTGCTAAGATTTTGGTTAGTGAAGTATCACTTATCAAAGCTTCGTCACATACTTGATTTCGTTGAAAATTTGCAACCAGACAAATGTGTTGAAGACGAGTGTCTTGAGCTGCTTGGTATCATGTTCGGAGTCTCCGTACCAGCCTAAAAGGGCCTTGCCACCAAAATTTAACACAAATGTGATTGCAAGTTGACAAATAGCCTGTCCTATGATCATCTTGGCTATTCTCAGTGTAATGAGCGGTGCCGACTTTCGATCTGGCTTCCGGTCAAGGACACTCCTCGTAGGGGGTCTGTGGCCAATGCAAGGGCTGCAAAGGTGTCCATGATCAAATTGACCCAAAGGAGTTGGACAGCGTTGAGAACAGATTCCTGCTTGCTGCTTGCAACCGCTGAGACAAATGTCAAGACCACGGCTGTAATGTTGACAGTCAGTTGGAACTACCATCATCCGATCAGCTAAACTTCACGGCTACCGTATATTCAAGCTCACCTGAAGAAACTTTTTGACAGAATCATTAACGGCACGCCCCCACATCAACCCCTTGACAATGGAAGCAAAACTGCAAGTCATCAGTGGTGTCCTGCTCTAGTATACGAACCGCTCACTTACTTGTCATCAAGAAGGATAATTGACGATGCTTCCTTAGCCACTTCTGTTCCAGCGATGCCCATGGAGAATCCAATGTCTGCCATCTTCAAAGCTGGCGCATCATTCGTTCCATCGCCTGTCACTGCCACTGTTTCCCCGAGATCTTTAAGGGTACGGATCAGGATCCGTTTATCCTCCGGACTTGAGCGGGCCAGGACTTGAAGATATCTCACCTTTTGTTTGAGCTCTTCAGGTGGAAGTCTTCGAAACTCGGGACCTTCCATCGCAATGCCACCTTCATGAGGACGGAAAATACCACATTCGGAGGCGATAGCAGAGGCCGTTTGGATATTGTCACCAGTTACCATTCTTACAAAGACGCCAGCCCGGCGACAATCCTCAAGAGCACTGATTACAGTCGGTCGCAACGGGTCTTTGATACCGTAAATTCCAATCAGTGTCATACCTTGGTGCACAGCATTGAAATCTGCGTGGAGCGGGTTTTCCGGGGAGACGGCTCCCTCAGGTGGCCAGGATTCGAAGTCGCGATATGATGACCCGATGGTTCGTAGAGTCTGTCCGGCATAGGAGCTAATAATCATACCGATCATGTCTCGATCCGCTTCGGTCAGGGGAACGGACATCGTTTCCCCTTCCGTCACATTCCCGAGACACTTGGTACACTGTTCCAGCAGTATCTCAGAAGCGCCCTTTGCGTATGCGCGATACTTTCCACTGGGCAGCTTGACAATTACAGCACTGTACTTGTTCTTGCTATCGAAAGGTACTGTCTGCACGATATTGGCAGAAGATCTTATCTCTTGGATTGGCCCAGCTCCTAGATGATCTCGGCAATAGGTAAGTAAAGCAACCTCAGTCTTGGAACCGACGAATGTCTTCTGGCCATCCTGGTCACCTTCGAAGGCCGTTGAGTTGAGCACATTGGACTGGATGAGTAGAGTCTTGACTTGTTGACTTAGTCTATTCACGAAGTCGGCGTCTGGGATATTGGGTACAGTGAGAGCCTTCCGTTCGATGGACAAGGACTTGTCCATTGGCGGATCAGCACCACCGAAACTGGTTGCTTTACCAAGTGTGGCGGCAACTATCGTCATTACATTCTGGGTAAGTGTCCCAGTTTTATCAGAGCAAACAGTCGTAGCATTGCCCATCGTCTCGCAGGCCTTGAGGATTCGAACGAGATTGTTGTCGCGGAGCATCTTGACAGTCGCAAAGCTCAGTGCCAGTGTGACTGCCAAAGGCAGTCCTTCAGGGACAGCCACTACAACAACAGTGACTGAGACGATGAAAATCTTCATGAATTCTTGACCCTTCTCGGAGGGAGATCCGTGGTTATTCGGAAGCTGAGCACAGAACTTGATGAAGAGCACGACGAATAGCAACAGCGCAGCGCCAGCACCTACTTTGGCAATCCAATCGGCTAAGATGTTGAGCTTCTTCTGCAGGGGTGTGTCTTCCTGTTCGGTGCGGAGGGCCATTGAGATTCGGCCATAGCTGGAATTCACACCCACAGCAGTCACAAGAAATGTCCCATTGCCCTCATTGACCTTGCTTCCCGAGATGATGAAAGGATCGAGCTTCTCTGCCTCCTTGGTGTCGAGTTTCTGGATTGCATCAAACACATCTGCTGCCGGTGTCTTTCGGAGCAGATCCGACTCTCCAGTAGCTGAAGATTCGTCACACTTGACGGCGCTGCCTTGAATAAAGATGCCATCTACTGGTACGATATCCCCCGTGGCAAGATGCATGACATCCCCGACCATTACGTCGTTGATGGATATCTCTTGGGACTTCCCTGAACGAATAACATTGACCATACGATCATTGGTTCTCTTAGTGAGCCGGGTGAACTGTCGCTGCATATGCCAGTCGTTGATTGTACCGACCAGCACAACAATACTGCCCGCTCCTGTTAGTGTTGTAAGTCTTGGCGTGACTGGAGGATTTACTTACACGATAGCAACAATAATTGCGACACCTTCAACCCATTCGACTTTGGGCTCCCCTTTTTTATGCTCACCTCCAAAGGTTTGGTAAAGGCCTAGAGCTAGTGACACAATCGCCGCAATGGTCAAGAGAATGAGAACTTTGTCGTTATAGGTAGTCCAGGCAATCTCCAAGAGGGATTTTGTCTTCTTATCAAGAAGGCGATTGTCTCTGAAGATCTTTTTCCGGTCGCAAAAAATCCCAGTAGGGTTGGGATCCTCAGGGGGAGGAATATGAACTGCTGCTTCAGCATTACTCTCCGGTATTGCATCACCAGTCGTCCCGTGTTTTGGTGTTCCTTTTGGCGCAACTTCGTGGAATGCGACCTCTCCCGCCACTGTGGACTCATCGGTGCTGAGGCCAGCATTACGATCTGTATGCAGTCCCTTCTCTATACCATCAATTCCCCCAAGAGCATAAAAGGCGTTGAGGCTCTTGGGATTGAGCAACTTAGAAAGCTGGCCTGGGCTGAAAGCAAATTTGCTTTTCTCAGTTCTGAACATGTCTTCGGTGCCTGGGTCCGGAGTCAATGCATCTGAAGTGTCTAGTAGACTGATTTTGGTGACGACATGGTCGTTTTCGGGTGTTTGGCTTCCTGCGATATATGAGGAGCTGCCATCTTGGCGATGGTGGTGAGTGTTGGAGCTTCAGGGCCTAGATTGATAATCGACCAACTCCTGAGAAAGCCTTGACAGCTTTTAAATAGGGTAAGGTAGTATAAAAACAGAACAAGAATGCCACGATTAAGAGGCCTCCCTTTATGTTGTGAGTGAAGTTTGGTTCTAAAGTCTCTGGAGAGGGGAAGGGCAGGCAGGAAAAGAAAGTGACCGACTTAGACAATGACACAGACATTAGCACTTGCCAGTGATGGGCACTTTTTGTGTAAGGCAGATCGTAATGAGACGGATGGGACATTGCTGAGCTCATATACTTAAGTTGAGGAGGTACCTTATGCAACAGCGGTTAGATACATGATTAGTACTTTCTGAAGCAAAATGACATCCGATTCATCCTTCCTATAGCAAGGTCTATCTACTAGATGCTGGTTACTACTGCCTACCTAGTACCTAGCAGGTAGGTACCTTGCCTTGCCTGTTTTTGGTGCGCTGGTCTAAGAGTAGGGTGTTTCTGTACGCAATGGCGAAATGCTAATATCCCTTACTAGGTAGCAACAATATGTTAAGTTTTATAGCCCCTTCCTTGACGTTGAGGTGTGCAGTGTTCCTAAATAATATCATGAGTCTATTTCAGCAAGCAGACACGGGCGGGAATGAGACCGCTGTGTGTCAACAACATTCACATACATCCAATCAATGATACACAGAGGACGATAAAACTAGTCGATCATAGGCCAAGTATTCGGTAGTGATACGCAAACAAAGATGGGAACGCTTGGGAGAAGGGTCTCAAATATTGAACTCCAAACACCAGTAGCATGAAAAAAGCCTAACAAGCACACAAGACGGTTCCAACAACCTTTTTTTTTTCATATGGCCAACGTACTCACCAAACAGTAGTGGTTACACTGGTAGCTGAGGCGAGCCTTGCCCTGTATCCGTACCTACTGTCACAAGCAAAGTCGTGCGAGAGGCTGCCATTAGACATAATTCCGTAGGCTCTCGACCTGCCACGACCTATGCATGAGGAAGCCAGTGACTGATTGCAGTAATTTAACTGGGCCAGATATGTGAATGCCTTGGTCAACGCTCTTCAGATAACGGTGTGTTAAGCTTGAGCTGTGGCAGCACACCATTTCCATTCACCAGCGGGCCAGCCATGTACTGCATGTTGCTTTTCCCACTCCGTATGGGCTATGTAAGACGTGGAAATCCTTCCATTCTCCTTGTGGTCTTGCACGATAATCAGCCAGATCATACAAAATCATCACCAGACCCTCAGAGTTCAGCAAGGCCTCCATAATGTAGCGAAACACATTCGAGATGGAAGCTGAGGAATAACAAAATGAGGAAGTGAGGCTGCGCAGGTAACTTAGGCACTCTTCAGATATGACGGGTCAGAGGATTTATGTCGCTTACACCTGGGCATATTTGCAACGTGGGCATACGTCCATTGCCGTTTTACATGAGGAAAGGTTGAAACAAGGCACCCTGCAGGGCGTCAAGCTCGAAACATCTACCAATGAGAGGGCTCCAGCTCAAATAAGCTCATATAGCAGGGGTACTCCCTTGTTGTTTGTGTCCAGTATGTACTAAGTAGGTAACTACCTAGGCAAGGGGAGAAAAGAAAACTCAGGACCTTAACCCTAAGGGATAAAAATCTTTAAGTAAATTTATAGGACTCTTTCCTTGGTTTGTTTTAACACCCTATACTAATGGAAGGTTTGGTGTTTTCTTGCCCCCCGACGCTAGGTAAGGTACCTTACTTATAGTAACAGCTTGGCTCCCACAGCCCTGGCTGAAATCTCCCCAAGAGGACACAGGCGTGCTTGGGCAAATGTGATCATGTGTTGGTATACAATCGAGGGAGCGTTATGAAACACAATTACAATGCATTAATCATGCATTGGTACTCAATCAAGGCTGCATCTGTGTATAATCCTGTGTTATCCATGTTATACCCTGATGTAGCCACATGCATGTGGCGCTGCTTGCTTTCAGCCACTCGCAGCCCCTCCTCCAAATTGACCCCTCCAAAGCCAATTTCCAGCTTTCAACCTGCTTCGGTACCTGCCGAGCAGATTCCAAACCCTGCTCGTCTGCGACAACGTCCAGCGTCGGACTCAGACGCGCTCTCGAACCGAATTAACTCTCCTTTTATTCTATCTCTTTTTTTTCTTTTCTTTTTTCGTGATGCCTTCGCAGCCTTCGAACGCGGGTATTGTCACCGATGAGAGCAGTGGTGACCGAGAGATCCCGCAGTCTGTCCGCGCAGATGGCAGTACCCGCAAAGCTATCAAAATTCGTCCGGGATACCGCCCTCCCGAGGATGTCGAAGTCTACAAGAACCGCACTGCCGAGGCCTTTCGCGAGCGCGGTAAGAAGATTGGCATCCCAGGTGCCACGGGCTTGAAGGAAGAGAGCTCCGAACAGAACTCAGCTGCAAGCAACAAGAACGCCAAGCGTCGTGAGGCTCGGAAAAAGGCAAAGGCTGCAGAGGGTGATGCTCCAGCCCCTGCGGAAGAGACAAAGCCTGAGCAAGTCGACCCCGAAGTTGAGCGCGAGAAAAAGGCCCGAAATCTTAAGAAGAAGTTGAAACAGGCTAAGGACCTCAAGAACAAGAAGGAAGGTGGTGAGGCTCTGCTCCCCGAGCAAATCGCAAAGGTGATCAAAATCAACGAACTCATTAGAGAGTTGGATGCGCTCGGTTTCGACGCTGAGGGTGAGCCCAAGAAGGCGGCCACTGACAACGAGGGCGAGAAGAAGGACTGAGACAGTTTATCCGGCTTCGACTCAAGAATATCACTGCAATCGAAAGTGCTTCGAGCAGTCGCTGGTATACTCAGGTCTACTTTTCCGGGTAAACACTCTACTTCTCACCAAGCCAAGTCGGATGACGAAGATCCATATTTTTGCGACCTATACCCAACTCAACATCATCAGCAGGCCGTCTTCAGCTGTTTGAGAGATCGCTTAGCCAGGTTCCTGGTCCTTGCCATCACTTGGATGTACCTGGCCCTTCATTCTAAAATCGGCTCACCTTCTGCTCTTCCCGACACCCTTCTCCGTCTTCAGGACAGACGAGTAATAGGCACGATGCGCTATGCGCGCAATAGAAGCTTCAGGCTGGGTCGGGATGTACCAAAAATCGTTTTTCTGAGTAAATTAGACATCTAATGAGAGCTACGAAGTTCCTCGATATCCAATCGTCTTTGAGCTTGGAAAATCGGCCTCTAGAGGAAATGCTGAAGGTCTTTGCACTCACAAATGCCGTGCTGTTGGTAAGTAATCTGATGTATAGCAACGCCTATCTGTATACGCGTCAACTGTACCGTGTCTTTCTACATTTCGGTAACACATCTCCTTTCCTGTTCACCTTGTATGTTGCTGCTCATTCAAAGAGTAGTGACGATAACCACATGATGGTTTGTCGGATCGAACTTTGAGAAAGTACTATTACATGATATACAGAAACCTAACCACGTCACATAGTAACGAATCAATCAGCATTGCATTCAGTTCGACGATCAATTGTAATGTAAAAAATCAAAATACAGCATCGTGGTCTCTAATCAGGTATCACTGTTTCGAGAACGGACTGAGTGATGCAGGGTAGGTAATAGAGCTCCGACAAAATCATCAAAGCACTTGGGCCACACGTAGTGACAGTTTATGCTTGCCAGTGGACTCACTCCATGGTATTTTGATGGATATGCATTATAATCGAAAAAAAAAAACTAGAAAAAAACTATATGCAGATCAAATAGCAAACAAATCAAGATCTATCACATTCTGTTCATTCTCAAACCATAAATATTCAGAGATAGAGCCACGCATCGCCTTGTTTTCTTCAACTGCCTCAGGTCCCTTAATGAGATACCTGGACGGAAGCTTTGCGCGTAGCATATGCCGAGATTCTGCCGGTGCAGCTCGAGCCCGCTAGTGGAAGGCTCCAGCTGGTGAGGTAAGCTCTCTATCTCCCATGAGCAACCACCATCACCATCCAATACAAACACCTTTCCATCAACATAAACGAGCTTTCGATACCCGACAGACAACGGCCAAGACCGACGAATTGTCAAGAAAAGAAAAAATATTAACAGTATACAACTCACGAAACTAGGATCGGAATAAAGTTATTCGCAATGTCTGCCGAAGCCGAGCGTCAGGCTGCCCTTAACTCCTATCGCACGAAACTCATGGAGTCGCGAGAATGGGAGGCAAAGCTCAAGAATCTGCGCTTAGAGATCAAGGACATGCAGCGAGAGTTTGACAAGACCGAGGACAACATCAAGGCGCTACAGAGTGTGGGACAGATCATCGGCGAGGTACTGAAACAGCTTGATGACGAACGATGTGAGGGCGAACAACATGTGGACTCGTACAAGATGGACGGATACTAACGGTTATACTCGCAGTTATCGTCAAGGCTTCATCGGGGCCACGATATGTTGTCGGATGCAGATCAAAGGTCGATAAGGTCAAGCTCAAGCAAGGTACCCGTGTTGCCCTCGACATGACGACACTCACCATCATGCGAATGCTACCCCGCGAAGTCGACCCCTTGGTGTACAACATGTCTCTGGAAGACCCAGGGCAAGTCAGCTTTGCTGGTATCGGTGGATTGAACGATCAGATTCGAGAGCTCAGAGAAGTAATTGAGCTCCCCCTCAAGAATCCCGAACTGTTCCTCCGAGTAGGCATCAAACCTCCCAAGGGTGTCCTGCTATATGGCCCTCCCGGAACTGGAAAAACTCTACTGGCACGAGCAGTTGCTAGCAGTCTAGAGACCAACTTCTTGAAGGGTATGGGTCACGCGCTGATCTTATTCTACGAACGTGTATCACTGACAGCAAACTAGTTGTTTCTTCCGCTATTGTCGATAAATACATTGGAGAATCTGCAAGACTGATCCGCGAGATGTTTGGCTATGCCAAGGAGCATGAGCCTTGCATCATTTTCATGGACGAAATTGATGCCATTGGTGGCCGTCGTTTCTCCGAGGGCACCAGTGCTGATCGTGAAATTCAACGAACCCTCATGGAGTTGCTCAACCAGCTGGACGGTTTCGACTATCTGGGCAAGACCAAGATCATCATGGCAACCAACCGACCTGACACATTGGACCCTGCGCTTCTTCGTGCTGGCCGACTGGACCGAAAGATCGAAATTCCTCTGCCCAACGAGGTCGGACGCCTCGAGATTCTCAAGATTCACTCACAAAGCGTGGTAGTCGATGGAGACCTTGATTTCGAAAGCGTGGTGAAGATGAGTGACGGGCTCAACGGTGCTGATTTGCGAAACGTGGTTACTGAAGCGTAAGTTTCCATCCCCACGCAGTAAAGGAGAAGAAGTTGGGCTTAATGAATCTGACATGCATACAGCGGTCTATTTGCTATCAAGGACTACCGAGACTCGATCAATCAGGACGATTTCAACAAGGCTGTTCGCAAGGTCGCGGAATCCAAGAAGTTGGAGGGCAAGCTTGAGTACCAGAAGCTGTAAGCGGCGGGAGGGTGTGCCATTCCAGCCCAAGATGGATAGATATAACAGCGCAAAGGTGCATGGAAACTTAAGGATGATGGAAGTTGATGGACCCAGCGTTGCTAGGTAATCCGTGTAAGACTGTACAATATAGTCAGGGCAACCAGCGATAGATTAGCTCAGCCCTATAAACAGGAATGTACATGGCGTCCTGGAAAAGCAGGAAAGTTTCTTGCGGCTACCACAATCGTGGTTCACGAGGGTGAGATTCATACATATGCCAATGCCTGCAACATAAGTAGCCAGATCCTTTGCCATGAGTTGTGTCGCAAGGCGTTGATACAATTGGTGAGAGGCTCGAGATGCCATGAAACCAACCACCTTCTTGACTCGCAAGGCTGATTTTTCTGAGTGAGACTGTCGGTCGGCCATAGTAAGCTCAGGAGGAGTAAGATTACGAAATTATGCAAGGTGAGGTATGTTATACCACTAGTAGTAGTAAGCAAGTAGTCAAGATGAACGGCTGAAGTCAGGTCGTGTCAAGAATACCAGGATAAAGGAGCTTATGGCATCTTCAAGTTTGGGGCTGAAGGGCATTTTCAGCTTGGCATTTTTTGGTTCTACAAAAGGCGACTTTTTGCTGACAGTGTGCTTTAGATTGTACTATAGATTTCTAATTGGCAACTGTCTTTCCCTTGGGTTGTTAGTGCTGAAGAAAGGACATATACTTGTAGACGATTGGTACAAAAGGATTCCTTCTCACGTACATAACAAACAACCACAGCAACGGCACTCTGGCAAGGGTTCACCTTAAATAAGCACCATCTTTTAATTATGACGGTGGGAACTTGCCCTGCTCAGCGGGGACGCTTTTAGGCCAACGTGGCTGAGGTCAGAGAGCTGGATGGTCTATTCCTACAGCTCACCCTTGAAGGCGAGCAAGCGTATCCGTAATCTCTGTAGACCCCCAAGCCGGAGGATGACGGCAAGGCTAAAATGGAGAGAGGCATAGAGTTGATATCTTTAACATGGGGGGTCTCAGTTTTGGGAGACGATGACGTAGGTATATAACGAGATGGATGCTAACAATAGCATCTACCTAAGGTCCGGAACTAACTTAGTTAGTCGGCAGCTCAACCGACGGCGGAAAGCGAATCAGAGAAACAAGACCGAAAACAAGATTGATAGGTAGGAATGAATGCTACGGAGAAAAACATGGGCTAGAATGCATCGAGAAGAAGAAGAAAAATAAGTCAAGAAGCGAGCCTGCACTTGAGATGGGAAACAACGCCGAGCGGAACGCGCTAGTTAAAACGGGTTGCTATTCTTAGTGAGATTGGTTTTTTTTTTTTTTTTTAGTTGGGGCGATTGAGGCTGTGAAATCTTAATAGTTGTACCAGTATGTGAACTGAAGCGAACTGATTCAACTTCGAATCGACACAGGCACAAACAAACACAAGGTATTGGGTGAGAGACCCACGACCTAGGGACGATCCATCTGATGCTAAGGCCATCAATGCATCACTGTCCAGGTACTCATGAATATTACAGAGCCCACCCCAAAGAAAGTCAGTGTCAGCTATGTACCTGTTGTCGTAGGGGTATCATCTTAAGTACTGTATCTGTTGATCTTCAATTGCATAGACGCCATATGTTTCAGAATCATCACTGTGGGAAGTAGCACAAGCTTCAGGATTAGTTAAGGAAGAAGAACAAAACGACGGGCGAATTCAGGGGCACGCATTGCATATCTGCATATGTATGCACGCCTCCACAGGAAGGGATGCAGGGGATCCCCCAATGCCGACTGGTAGCTTCCGCAGGCCAACACTGAGCGATTGACTGTGAGGGAGTCTCTGAGACCTTGGCTACCTTAGGTAGGCCGGGAGTCAATACCAATACGAACGATCAAAGGCGCGAGTGGGGGAGACATTTCTCGTATGGAGGCGCAGATCTCTCGCTTGACGATAACGCTGCCGTTTCTCTTTCGGGTCTCTGAGTGGTAGAGTGTAGAACGAGTTGAAACGAGCTGCAAGCTTCCGCTCTTCTGTTGGTGTTGACAAGGCTCGGGCTAGTCGGGAACCCCGTGAGGCTGGTTTTTAGGTGTGCTGTACCTAGGTCTAGGTCTAGGTGAGGGTGGAGGCGGAGGAGAGTGGTGGATGATGATGTTTGTGGTGGGTTCTGCAGATATGATAAGTGACAAACAACCAACTCAATGCATCCAGATGGTAACATCAGAAAAGATCGTGGTTCGACGTAAAAAGAGTGCGGTGAAAGAGGGACCTCTAATTACTAGTAACTTCCCGCACTCGGTGCAAGACACAAAGTTCATAATCAGATTAGCTTTGTAGATCAGGAACTTGCCTGTGAGAGGTCACCACAATGGGATTGTGAGATTATTGTTAGTTCCATACATCTTGGGTACATCTACCTGTACATGCGGCTCGGCGAGATGCGTTGCCATGACCACCTAAGGTAGAGAGGTAGACGGGACCTAAGCTTCACGATCTAACTTGAACTGTGACAGACCTGGAGTTGCACCAGGGTGTTCAGGCACCGCCATCCAGGCCCTGGAATTATTAAAGCGCGGGCTAGATCCAGAGAGGCAAACAGCAAACTGTATTCTTAGAAATTCGATACGTGGTAGTTGTCGCAGATTATTACGAGTCTGAGCGTAAGGCCTTGGAAAGCAGGACCAGAGGCGGACGATGGCTAGGTATGAAGAAGCCTTGTTGGTGTGGTTTTTGGTCCTGGACCCTTACCCTTATGCAACCATTAGCCACGGCTGACAATGGCTTCCATTCTGTTCCAGCTAACGTCTCAACAGCCGCGAGCTACTGCCACGCCCACGATAACAGATGCCGTGTAACAGGATCAATTGGTCATCTGTTGGTTCAGCTGTATGATGATGGCCAGTCCCTCAACTGCCTAGCACCTTAGACCAAGGTAAGGTACCTACTGGAGTCAGTCAACTCAAAACGCCTGATGGTGGTGTATCCCTGAACCATCTCAAACTGTGAACCGCCCCTCACAGTTCAGGGTCAGTTGCTATGGAGGAGTGTGGTTGTTGTCGATATGTATGAGTTGCAGGCATTCTCATGATATTCCTCTGTTACCCTCCCTTGCCTTGTCTCGCCCACTTCCCGCCAGTTCGTTCGTTTCTCAACCTCTCTGTAAATAGACCGGCGAGCAGATAAAAATACCTACCTACCTGGAGGCCAGACCAGACAGACCAAACCAAAAACATGGAATCTCTCACCCCTGTCTGGGCCCTGTCGAAAATACCCCCGCTACTGTCATCCTCAACCCCACTCTGCCCACCAAGACAGCAAGCTGCCTGCATGCATGCAGAGCAAAAGCGAGCCCGTGGGAGAGAGCCCGACCTTGCTGAGTTGCAGGTCACTTTTGAGTGAGAGCCGCCCGGGCATAGCGGCGTATACCTACTACCTAAGGTACCTAAAAACCATCCTCTACGGAGACCGCTCTGCCCGCCTTTGTCCTTTCGCCTTCACCCAATGTTGTAAGGCAAGTCAAGTTGTTGAAGCTCAAACGACTACATATACAACCATCTCCTCCTCCCTCCTCACCTTTCTTGTTCTGCTCTCCTCTCCTCTTTCTCCTCCCTCATCTACACCTTATTGCTTCTTGATACCCCGTCCTCAAAACTCTTCCGCCTGTTTCCTCTCTCTCTTATTCTCCCCCACACATATCCGCTCGCTATCGGCTCTGCTCTCCTCTCACCGACCGTGTCGTCTCGTCTCGTCTCTAAACGACCCCATTGTCCACGTTTTTCCATTGCAAAGAGCTCGTCAACATGTGGTAAGGAAGCTTCCTCTTCCTCTTCCTCGTCNNNNGGGCCTCAAAAGAAGGAATTCCGCGGCTCAATTGGTGGAATAAAATAACAATAGCTAACCAATATGATCAGTGGTATTTTCGGATACATCAACTACCTGGTGGAGAAGGACCGCAAGTTCATCATCGACACTCTTGTCAACGGTCAGTAATTGCTTATCCCATGTTCACAAGCACAAGCCCAAGCCCAAGCATAACCATAATCATGGGCGCAGCCCATGTTTCCCCCCTCCTCAGCTGCCCCTCACCACCCCTTTCATCAGCCATGCCCCGCCCCGCCATGCACTGGTGAGACGCGGGATCAGCGCCCAGATTCGTGTTGCTGACACAGCCTTTTGCAAACAGGTCTGTCCCGTCTCGAGTACCGTGGATATGACTCTGCTGGTCTAGCCATCGACGGCGACAAGAAGAAGGAGGTTCTCGCTTTCAAGGAGGTTGGCAAGGTCGCCAAGCTCCGAAAGCTCATTGACGAGTCCGACCTCGACCTCGAGAAGATCTTTGATTCACATGCCGGTATTGCCCACACCCG